GGTGGGTGTGGGTGTGAGTGTGGGTGGGTGCGGGTGTGGACGTGAGGTGTGGGTGTGTGTGGATGGGGTGTGATGGGGGAAAGGAATATACCATCGCCAATTGTACTTTTCGCCAACTGGCGAATACACTATGGCGAAACAAAAAGTTTATTGGCGAATTTCATACTAGAGATTCGCCGAATTGGCGAATATACTAAACCAAAAATAAATATTTATTGACACATTTCACACTAGAGATTTGCCAATTCGAATCGATTGAGTTGTAACTCAACTATAGTACTTGATATCTTGAGGGTGTGAGTGTGGGTGTAGGTATAAAAGTGTGAGTGTTGGTGTTGATAAAATTGAAGAGGATACTGTTATCCACCCACACCCACACCCACACCCACATTCACACCCCACATTCCACACCCTACAAATGTAAACAGTGTTGATCAAGCTGGCACAAATGCACATTCAGTCAATAATGAAGATATAGTTGAATAGAAAATACTCTTATTTATGGAAGTATAAACTTATTTTATTTGTATGTGTATAGAAGGTTCATTTTTTTCTTTATGTGAAATAAAAGAAGTTTAAATAATGTTTATATAAAAGAATATATCTTGATATACAAGAAAAGCTGCGATCAGAAGAAGATCAGCAAAAATAATATACTGTTCATCGTTTTTTAAACTCCATATCAAATATGAGACCGTAATACTTAAATATTCTATCATCAATTTAGTTGAGTCATAATTCTACGAATTATAATTGACGAATTTCACACTAGAGATCCCCCAATTGGCGAATACACTATGGCGAAACAAAAAGTTGTTGGCGAACTTACAGAGAGCCGGTGTGGGTGTGGCTAAAGAAAAATAGTGCACTCTGACACCCTCACTCGCATCCACGTCCACACCCACACCCTGTATATATACTGTGCTTGAAAGCGTCGAAACTAGATGATGAAAAAGGACAAACAAATATTTTTGGATAAAAAAAACTGACCAAAGTTGTAGAAAATTTTTTCGACGTTTTCTGTTCTAAGATTGTTGTGATCTTCGAAAAACATTTTCAATCACAATCTTTTATAGATTTTTGCACTAGACACTTTACTCTTTCTAACAAGAAAAAAAAACTCAGGTCTCTACGACATTGCATTGCAGAGTCATATCAAAAATAAAATTAATGCAAAACTTTTGCCCCACCCATTATCTATAGATGAATATAAAATAGATGATTTGATTTCGAGTTGGATTGGGTCAAGTACCTGACCCAACGCAACCGGACTCAACCCAATCCTACCCGAGATTGAATCATATATTTTATATATACATTTAGATATATATTCTTACTTGACTTGACTTACCCCAACTCAACTCGACCCAATCGTAACTCAGACTTCAACTTCATTTCTGTATTCTTTTTTTGTTAGAAGAGTTTCTATGACTATCCTTAAAAGTATTCAATGAAATTTCTCCTATAGTCACTGTTTTGAATTTCCTGGAAATCGGAATTTACCATGACATGAAAATTTGAACACTGAAACGCACATCAACGTATGTGATGAACAGTGTGCGAGCACGCTACGAAATCGTATGAAGTATGAAGCCACATTCACATCTATCCGACAAATGGAAAGAGTTTGTCGTAGATTGAAGTAACGCCTTCAAAAGATCTGTTGAAAATTGGATAATGAAAGTTAAAACAGCTGGGAAAGTCAAGATCAATAGTTTTAAATGTTGAGAACAGATGGTGAAATGATCTATCACTAATTAAACGGAATGGTTTTTTTGCAAGATTCATCATCCAATTTTCTCTCAAATCAGTAGTTTTTAGTAACATAAATAATTTCCATAATTTTTAGAAACATTCAAAAAAGGGTGAAGATCCACATCCGCACATTCTTTTCAATTTTCATTGTGTGACACGAACCTACCTGATGAAAGTTTTGAAAGACAAATAAAATCGCTTCATCAATCTAACTCTACATGGCTATTTCCGTTACGTTCTCTTTCATTGAAGTTCGATTGTCATATTTCTAATTTGACTTGTGTACAACTCAGAAATATATTTTTAGAAAGATAAGTCTGGAAAAAAATTAAGAGTATTTGTCAGTAGAAAAGCAAAGTTAAAAAAATCTTGTTTTTATATGTTCAAGAATATTTGTTTTCTCGTTGACATTGTTCATTTATTCATATGCAACCGATTAATATTATTAGCTCATCCAGAAATAAAACAAAATCACTTGTTATAATATATATCGTCATGCAGCATGTTTATCACCTAAATCGCGAATTTTTTTCTCAGACATATTTTCATAGCCCCATCGTTGTCGATCTTCGACACTACCCAAACCAAATACGTCTATGGTGTCTGTATTGGGATTTGTTAACGTATAGTTTGCGACTTTTCCATATAAACGATCACGTCGTTGATTTTCCAAATAAAGATAAACAACAAGAAAAGCAGCAGTAATAAAACTCAAGATACAACAGACAAGATTGATAGAATGACCCATAATGAAACGAGGTGCATCTTGAAATCTATAAATTTGACCACCGATGGCTCCTCCAACGTTACACATGGACAACATGAATGCTATTGCAGTAGCTCGTTTTATATGAGGACTAATGTTACATGAGAGAAAACTGATACATATTGCTGTACATGGTGACAATCCACCAACTGCAATAAAAATAGCAAAATATTTTAGAGCAAAATTATCGACCAAAATAAGAATTATATAAGCAATAGTGCTAATTATTGACCAGAACATGATGAAGATACCACGACGAGCATATTTATCGGAGAAATAAGCAGTAATCATTGTAGTAATAAAGGCAAAAGCATATGGTGGAGCAGTAAGAAGTTATGCTTGATAAGTGACAAAACCTAGATTAGCAATAATAGTTGGAGAGAAGAAACCGAGTGAAAGAAATGGTATAGTTATAGTGATGCCACACAATGACCAAACGTATAATTTCCAATCTAAAAAAGTCGAACCAACTTGAGCCCAACTAAAATGTTCGCCAGCACCAGGTCCAGCATCAGTACGTAAACAAACAATGACACGATTACATTCACTTTCAGTAAGAAACTTTGGTCGATCCGATGGAAAGTCACTGATAAAAAAAATAGGGAAATGCTCCAACGATGACAATAACTAAACCCTCGACATAAAATATCCAACGCCAACCTTCTTGACCCAATAAACCATGTATAAGATTGATTCCATAGGCAAGAATATCACCAAAGGTGCCAGCTAATGATACAGTACCGAAAACAATACTAACACGCCACGAAATTTCACGTCTTTTATACCAGCTTCATAGATAGTAGTTGATTCCTAATAAAAATATTATAAAATATATGCATGTATTATTTATGAATATTAGCCTGGAAACAAGCCTGATTCAGCAGCACCTAATATAAGTCGACAAATAAGAAGACTCATGTAAGAGTTAACAGAACCGATATAAATCGTTGCAAGACCCCAAACAATCATAATAAGTGGTAATCCATCGACTTGGTCGAAATTTTTTCAGTGCTAAATTCGATGGAATCTCAAATAGAATATAAGTTATAAAAAATACACTCAAACAATTATTGTATTGTTTGCTTGAGAGATTCAATATGTTCGTCAGATCATTTAATTTAGCTTGTCCAATGTTTACTCGATCGAGAAAACTGAGTAAATAAAGTAATGTCATAGTAGGTATAATATAAAGATCAAGTTTACGCAAAAGTTTCTTATCTTTAGGATCATCATTTGTATCATTCACTAATATACCATTCACAATATTGACGCTTGGTTCATCTTGAAAATGTTTCAGTTTTAATCCAACAAGTTCATGGTTCTCGTCGTTGTTGTCCGACACAAGAAGTACAGTGGAAGATTGAAGTTGCTCGTTCGTCATATGAATCACTTAGAAAATTGTATACAAAGAAGAAAAACTCGATAGCTATCACAAAAATCTACAAAAGTCAATAAATATGTATGTGTATTGTGTGTTCAGAGTAAACTTCGCTCTATAAAATTGACCAATTAAAACAAACTTTATATTTTCAATTAGATAAATGCCAATCCAAACACAAAATAGACTAAAAGAAATATCATACAGACTTGATTTTTGATCTTTTGTGAAACACGATCTGAAAGGAGTGTTGAAGTGTATAGGGTAGAAATTTTGAACCCACCCCCCCCCCCCCC